TCCAATAAATGCGTGGGACCCGACCCCCGTGTGAGGGAGGGGGTGGATCAGAGTAAACAAAAGTGTAATACATAAGGTACACGTTATACGCACACGTAAATAGTGAAATGCATATTTGAATGTTGGTATTAGAATTACAACTAAATTCATAAATGAAGATGAATGGCAAATACGATACATGAATGTTAAATCATTTATATTAAATGAATATAATTTAATTTCTAATTAAGTGAAGCCGATACTAATTAGCATACATGGACTAATGAACTGCAACATTGAATTTGAAATTCTAATTAATATTAATTAAATGAATATGTATGTTAATTAATTGAAAATTAATAACAGGGACATAGATATAAATGTGAATGTGAAATTCTAATTAATATTAATTAAATGAATGTGAATGTTAATTAATTGAGAATTAATTATAATATTTATTATAGTATGTAAATTAATATAAGATACTATTAAAATAATTGAATTGCAGTAAGGCTATAATCGTCCAAAAATTATTATCATGATATTTAATATATTATAGATATTTACAATAAATTAGTTTGTAATCTCAATCAACCATTTAATTTAAATGAATTGATATTAAAACGACTAACTTTTGAACAGGTGACCTTGTAATTGAACAAGTGATTCCATACCATGCTTTGGCTAAACTGATTAATGTATACATCTAAATGAGGTTTTCAAAATGCATCTATTAAACTAATCTACTATGAAACTCTATTTCAAGTCCTTTCTTCTTCCTCGTCTATGCAAAGCTGCTTGCAGTAACCATTACTAGGCTGGAAAATTGACATGATAAACTTCAGTCATATCGGGATGATATAGACCGAAATTCATCTCAACCCCAGCAGACTTTTGATTTTCATTGAACAGAGCAAAAATGTAAGTTTCCAATGTTTTTCCAGGTCTCCCAGGCGTTCCTTTTCCAGATGTCACATGAGAAATCAAATTATTTACATAAGTTTGTGCATTGTCCACCGTCGCATCAGTGTTTCCGGCACTCGGCCACCCAGTTTCCGATATGACAATATCGACAGTGGATCCACCAGCCTTCTCCAATGCAGAATACACCGAATCGACCATGGCGTCGAAAAGGTTCGCATAGTGGAGTGAATCGTCATTTATTCCGGTTGGATTGCCGGCAAAAAGAGCAAAGTCCAACGGCACATTACTGGGATCTCCCGTACGTGCAAAGAATGGATATGCATTGAGTAAAAGGGGGAACTTTTTTGCTGCTAAAAACCCTGTAATACCTCGCATTATATTTGCTACTTCATCTGAAAATTTGCTGTTGGATGGAGGAAAAGATGTACCCAGTATTTGCATTGAAACTGCAGTACTAACTGGTATGGGACTGTTTGCAGCATTTAGGGCGGCATCTAGGTTTTGCATTGCACTTAGTACATTTCCTGCTAATGATCCTGGAATGACTTCATTGCCTGCTGTTATGCATGTGAACTTCACCGATGATTTATACGGCGTAACGTTGATATTGACCCATCGGGCGGCGGCAGTTGCATCAGAGGCAAGTTCTTCAAGATTTTCGTTCCGAACCCCGAGTATAACTTCTATTCCCGAACCCCCTAACGCAGTCAGAACGTCCGCTTTCGGTTCAAAAATTCTGATTTTGTTAATATTTCTTGATTTCAGCAGAGCAACAACGTTAGCTGGTGTTGGGAGATTGTCCCCTAGAAACCCATAGTTCACACCGATTCCGCGTACACCTTTGATCGAAACAATATAATAAGTTATTACGACATGTTTAGTACACAGTACTCCAAAATGCTATACATAATAATTGACAGGGATTGAATTTTTCTTTTTTTGGTCTTAATCATAAAATTAAAAGAGGCAATGATATCTTACATGAATTGGCGCTGAGGAAGCATGCAATTGTCAGCAATACAAATAACTTCTCCATCGTGAATTAGAATTAACGTATACAGTTTCGTAGGTACAGTTGATTGTATGTCTACCTTTTAATTATTTTTGAACGAGGTTTTCCTCCTTTTATAGTTGTATTTTTAATCTGTCGTACTAAATTATAATTAATTATAGTAAATATTATATTGAATAACAGTTTGTTGCGTGTGTAATAATATTCATTTTCTTAATCTTAGCGTGGATTATGGATTTGATTTGCACACAAAATCTTTCCTTTAATAAGTAATTAATTTAAAATGGTAGCTAAGTTGGCGCATGGAAACAAAATATCTTAAAAGTCACAATTTCGTAATTAACAAAATTTGTGAACAATCAATTCAATAGAAAATATTTAAACCTCTCGTTTGATCTTAATTAAAATTTTAATTTATGTCATGGCTAAAATTAAATACATTTCCTTCTATTACGTTCTTGTAATTTAGATTTTGAAGATAAATTCTTCCTTGAGGTAATATTTTTTTTTTTTTTTCAACTTATAAGCAATAGAGTTTTGGAAATATGTGATTTGGATAAATTGTGCTTATAAGTAATAACTGAGTAATTAAATTAATATTTTTTAATTCGATTACTTTTTTTTTTCAAAAAAATAAAAGTTTTCATGTTTGCATATTTATTTTAACTATTTGAATTATTGTTACGATAAAACGATTTCTCGATTCATTTCATTCGTCGAACCATTTTCATATATTTTTTAGTTATTTTGGTAATATGATATAATTTATGGACAATAAGTAAAATGTTATTTTAAAAAAATATTGATCAAATATCTGAAATATAAAAATTTACTTATTAGTAACCAACTTATAAGTCCACACTGAGAATTTTTATAGAAAATTGATGGTGGAAGTGATATATAGAGTACAAGTTGATGATTTGTGATTTGTGATTTGTGATTTGTGAAAGGCACACAAAGAAAAGCAATTTCATGATTTTAATCCTTTGAATTATATTCAAAAAAATAAAGAATCTACTTTTTAATCATCGTGAAACTTAAACATGTCACAACTACTAAGCATTTTGTTGCTAATGGTCGTAATATATCTCTTTTTCTACTTTCTTAAAATAAATATTCTATAAATTGTTGTGATATATAGTTTAATTAATATGCCCAAAATTACAAATGGCTATCAGATCTACTAATAATTAGACCACCAATCACTCAATTTCAAGATAAATTAATCTAAATATGAATCTGAATCCTACAATGATATACATGTATCATTTTTAAACTCAATTCTTACTGAATTTTTACTATTTTAATCTGACTGTTAAGACGGGAAATTTATATTGAAATGCTTTTTCCATCTAAGTGTTATAAAAGATTATGACAATCTTCTTTGATAAATTAATTTTAAAGCATTTAGTGAAATAGAAAAAGTATAGAAAAGCATTTATATCTAACGTGGAATAGGCAATAAAGAACTAGAGTTTCGGCTTTGGTTCGATCCAACTACATCTTTCCCAGTGTTCTAAAAGGCGTAATGCGTTGCGATGCGTCGAGGTCGAGAATCAAGCATCACAAGTTTAGGCGCA